ATACATTAAAGCAAAACCAACGACCACGTACGTAACAAACACATACGAATGCAAAATCAACAACCATTTCTGCAGTACAAACGTACATAAAAACATGACAAACGAAAAAAACCTTAACAAACGTGCAAGCGGTAAATCTAGTCTTCCCGACTCTCGACGGTCCCGGATTTTTTTTTTTTTTTTTTTTTTTTTTTGGTCGGTGCACAGAAACTCTTCAAACTTCTCAGGCACATTTTCTTTTTAAATGAATTCAATAATATATAAAAACTTAAACAAATTTGCGTATTTATTACTGAATCAGCAGTATCATCTTCCAAAAAGCGGTAGATGTAGTACTCCGTTATTAATATGAAAACCAAAACCGGACATCGATACAGAGAGACGTTAGGTGTCGTAGATAGTAAAGGTGCATGGACATAGATTTGAAGTTAATATTTTCTGTATAAAATTACGACTTATATATTTTAATAGCATTTCACACAAAAATATATTAAAATCTCATTTCATCTAAAAGTTATTAAAACTTCAAAATTTTAGACAGGTTTGATTGACACATCCTTGCACTCTCACAAATTTTAATTTTATTCTAATATTTAGGAAAAGTGGCAATCTTGTTTCAATAACTTTAAGATGAAATAAAATTAACTTCAAATCTGAAGATGGAATTATTATTTCAGTAAAAATTGGTGGTGTTAATAAAAAAAAAATGAACATTTTAATTCTATAAAAATTCATAACATCAAAATGATTTGATTTCAAAAGAGATTTTTATCAAACGTTTCATGAAAATAGCTAAATCTAACATTGTACTTTAGTAAAACCATGCAAAATGAAAGTATTGCATTGTTATACATTGACGTAGCATCGTTTTTGAAAGGAGGGGGTAACCAGAGAAAAAATTTCAATCTAGCTGAAAAAAAAGATTTAACAAGAGGCCCATGGGCCACATCGCTCACCTGAGCACCAAGGGTAGGACTAGTATAAAATGGCTTTTTATTGTAAAGTTTAAATCCAAAAGTAGTCCCATGACCAATCATGGATTTGCTATTTTTTAGAAAATGAATGAGAAGAAGGTTTTTAAAGAATTTTCCTATATATTTCTATGTAAAACTTTGGTCGGCCATTTTGGCCCCGCCCTACCCCCGGGGGTCATGATTTGAACAAACTTGAATCTACACTACCTGAACATGCTTTCATATAAATATGATGAATAATGGCTTTGTCATTCTTGAGAAGAAGATTTTTAAAGAATTTTCCTATATATTTCTATGTAAAACCTTGGTCGGCCATTTTGGCCCCGCCCTACCCCTGGGGGTCATGATTTGAACAAACTTGAATCTACACTACCTGAGCATGCTTCCATATATATATGATGAATTATGGCTTTGTCATTCTTGAGAAGAAGATTTTTAAAGAATTTTCCTATATATTTCTATGTAAAACCTTGGTCGGCCATATTGGCCCCGCCCTACCCCCGGGGGTCATGATTTGAACAAACTTGAATCTACACTACCTGAGCATGCTTCCATATATATATGATGAATTATGGCTTTGTCATTCTTGAGAAGAAGATTTTTAAAGAATTTTCCTATATATTTCTATGTAAAACCTTGGTCGGCCATATTGGCCCCGCCCTACCCCCGGGGGTCATGATTTGAACAAACTTGAATCTACACTACCTGAGGATGTTTCCCCGTAAGTTTCATCTTTCCTGGCACAGTGGTTCTTGAGAAGAAGATTTTTAAAATATACCACTAAATTTTCATTAATTCCCAATTATCTCCCCTTGAATAAGGGCGTGGCCCTTCATTTGAACAGACTTTAATCCCCTTCACCCAAGGATACTTTGTGGCAAGTTTGGTTGAAATTGGCCCAGCGGTTCTTGAGAAGAAGTCGAAAATGTGAAAAGTTCACAGACAGACAGACGGACAGACGGACGCCGGACAAAATGTGATCAGAAAAGCTCACTTGAGCCTTCGGCTCAGGTGAGCTAAAAAACTTCTTTCAGTACCAATTTTTTTCCTTAATATACATGTACTACATAACCCTTTTTTGACCTTACTCTTAAAATTGGGAAATGTTGCTACGTGCCTGTCATATGATATTTCACTGTAATGTAAAGTTACATGCATCATAATAGATTCTTGTAATATTTAAAGAACTGGGGAAAGCCAATTTATGTAACAACAACAACCAAGAAAAAAATAAATAAATAAATAACTAGAGCAAAGCTCGTTGCAAAGCAACGAGTAGGTCTTCCGTCCTGTTTGACCGGAAGTAGCTTTCATTTTTAACAAAAATGAGAAATAACGCCCAAAAATGCTTTGAATTCTTTGAAGCTATGTTAATTAATGCAAAAATAAGCCATTTTTTGCTACTTCCGGTTTAACCGGAAGTGACGACGACGCACGGAAAATTAATTTTTAAGCTCCCAGAGACATATGTTACCCAAAACATGTCAAAAACGGCAAAAATACGCGTTTTCCGACTACTTCCGGTTTGGCCGGAAGTGACGACGCTGGACGTATTTTGACGATTTCATTAGATTAAGCTTGACATTTTCAACAACTTTGCTTCTTTGATGTACATGTATAACAAATTCTCAATACTTTTTGAGACATCTGGAATAAACTTTTGGCCCCTCTAGTTCCCTTAATTTAGGGGTCATCCCTTTTTCCGACATATCATTTGAAAGATCTAATAATTCTGCACAAATTATGTTCTATATATTTTAACAAAATATTTTTAGGATAGAAGATAAAAAGCAAAATATGAGTAGTTTTTGGCTCTTTTAAGCGTTCTAATTTTTGACCCCTATATAGCGCCGTTTTGAATAGAGAAATCGAAAAACAAAAACCGATGTGCACAACTTCAATCCTTCTATTATCTAAAATCAGAAGAATTTCTGCTCCAGCTTTAGCCGTCTCTGAGCCTTTGTCTGGAAACGAAAGCCTATAAATTTTCGTTTAAAGGGAAATAACGCAAAACCGGAAGTGTCGTTTTGAAATTTTAGTCAGCATTCTGATAGAGTTTATAAATGTCTATAATCTCTGAAAATTTGAGCGAAATCCGTTGAAAAATGAGTGAGATATGAGGCCTCAAAGTTGCGGTCTAGGAAGCAGAAGAAAAAAAAAGAATAATAATCTTTACCAACAGAATCAGTAGAAGGTCTTCCGTTGGAAACGGAAGACCTTAATGACGAAACTGCCTTCAGGAGAATGAGATTTTTTTCATTTTATGTAAATTCTTTTCTTTCATTTGAAATTTTTAAGATAAATTAAAATTAAAAAAAGGAAAAAATTAAAGGGGGATCCGAGGTAGACCATATCTATGCTGCAGAGCCTAGGAACATAAACATGTTATGGCAAAGAGTTCTATACGAAAAAAAATGTGTGGGGAATTTTTGAGTATAAAAATTTTCTGGCATGTAAATGAGGGTTTTCATTTATTAAAAAAATATACCTCAGTTTGTTGTTTTAATCGCGATTCTACGAAAACATCATTATCCTTTTTTTCAGTGGTTTTCGCATTTATAGCTGAGTACTAGATTTACCGCTCTTTGGTGGTACTGCTGATTCAGTTATAAATACACAAATTTGTTTAAGTTTTTATATATTAATGAATTTATTTAAACCTAGAAATGTGCCTGAGAAGTGTGAAGAGTTTCTGTGCGCCGACAAAAAAGAAATCGCCAAAATAAAAAAAAAAAAAAATTCCGGGACCGTCGGGAGTCGGGAAGACTAGATTTACCGCTTGCACGTTTGTTAAGTTTTTTTTCGTTTGTCGTGTTTTATGTACGATGATCGTTGGTTTTGCATTCATATATGTTTGTTACGTACGTGGTCGTTGGTTTTGCTTTAATGTATATTTGTTCTGCGAAAATGTCTGTTGATTATGCATTGTATATCATTTGTTAAGTTTTTATGGTCATTGAAATAAAAATAATTGTTTGTTTTCTCATTATGGTAATTTTTGCCCTTTCCGCTGCCCATCGATACCGTCTGCCACATTACTTTTACTTTGGTCATATCATTTGAATGGGAAGAAACAGGACTTGCATATTACACATGTGTCTATTACCCGTGACAAGACCTTTCTAAATACACTACAATTTTTTATTTTTGACCTTGACGTTTGACCTATTATAAACGAAAGTCCTTTCTTAAATGTATCTATAAATTTTGACCTCATGACCTTGACCTTGAAATTTAACCAACTTTTGAAGAATGTTCCTTACGACTTTTGATTTAGAAGAGATAGGACTTTCATATTTGACAGGTGCATTACCTGTGGCACGATATTTCCGAGCATGCTATGGTTTATGACTTTTTTCCGAAACACCCCTAAAAACTTTGGTGAAAATTGTTGAATGACATATGAAAGGGCGTTCATCATATTTGACACAACTTAAATAATGCCATATTACTCAGTACCCACAAAGAAACCGAAAGCGGGGGACCACAATTCTTTGAATTTGCTTGTTAAACTAGATTTCACTTCGCATTGTTCCTTCATCAATTCATACACGTAAGGCTGACGGCGGGTGTGACAGGTCGACAGCGGCTCTGCTTACTCCTCCTGGGCACCTGCTTACTCCTCCTGGGCACCTGCTTACTCCTCCTGGGCACCTGCTTACTCCTCCTGGGCACCTGCTTACTCCTCCTGGGCACCTGCTTACTCCTCTGGATTTTCCAGGGGTCCGAGTTTTTTGCCTTCTTCACAGATTTAAAATGATTATGATTTTTTTTAGATTGGTCTTTTTTTTTATATTTTCAACTTTTTACATAGAACGAGCACTTGTCTGAAGATTCAGGAAACATATACAAAATAGCCATAACGATCTTTAACGCATCTGTGGTCTCCGAAGACAATATAAATGTTGTCAACGGGGAACTCAAACACCCTTATAATATCAGCTTCAGAATATTTATAGTAAATCAGAAAATATCCCGCTTCTATTTTTATCGAAGACGAAGTTTCTATGATATCAAAAAGTCTAGTTTTAAACTATCATGAGGAAATTCTTTATTTTAATTAAGTTTTTGAGATTCTGATTCACACTATACTTCTGAAATATGTTGTATGATCTAGAATATATTCGTAAAAATAGGTCAATATACTAGTAATATCCATGGAATTTTTGCATTGCTAACTTTAAACAAGGTTGCAGAAATCCATTTAACATGAACGTATTTATCAGAAGCCTGCTTAAACTCCATTCACTTATAAAGCTGGTGGTTAGCTACTCATGTTTATAGTGTTTGAGGGTTCTAGCGGAGGGATCAGTGGTCTCCGTCCATCTGGGCATCCAAAAGTAAGGTATCCACTCGGCCCGCCCTGGGTAAAACTTCTCAAAGAGTTTCCTATAGTACAGAGCCTCCTTCGTCAGCGGAGTGTTGTGTGGGTATACAGCAGGTGCTTCCTGCAATTCCTTGTCATTTATCTGTTGGTAAATATAGTATAAAAGTTTTAGGAATTAGACTTAAATACTCGTCATGAAAAGACAAGTCACTCTAGTTTTTATAATTCTGTCTCCCAAATGATTCGATAAGCAAGAACATGCTCTACGTATATATATAAAGAAAATATATTCAGCAATAATGACCTGATCGCAAAGGTGGTCCTGGAGAATTTCATACCATGACCTTTTTACACTTGAAATACCATCACTGAAAGCCTCCTTCGGTCTCCATAATATGTTGTGTGGCAATAATTCTGTTTTGTCAAAGGCTGCTCTGAGTAGATACTTTTCTATGCTGCTACGTGGTTGTCTTTTTTCCGGTGATAGTGAAAGTATATAGCTGCTGAGTCGATGGTCCAAAAAGGGAACACGAATTTCCATGCTTTTAAATAATTTTATAAAATGATATCTTAAACTGTTATTAAAAACTAAAAAAAAGCGTTTTATTATTTCATATTTCAATAGGTGAAAGAAAGACAATTTTAAAATTAAGAATTATAATTGTGTATAATATGTATAATATATAAATGATAATAATAAATTTACCCCCAGGCTGCGGTGGACCTGTCCCCTCGCAGTACATCATACATATACAGGTCCTTACAGAGCCGCCTGCTCTCTATGTCTGCCTCCGTGGCGGAGGGGGCCTTGTGGAAGTATATATAACCTTGCATCACTTCGTCTGCCCCCTCCCCGGATAAAATTACCCGAGTGTCAGTTTTCTCCATTATGTATTTACTAAGCAAAAACATTCCTACAAAAAATATGTTATTCTTTATAACTCGCCATGGATTCATTTGAATAAAATAAATTCATCTATATTAGTAACATTTAAGGATCGATTCTTCTCATACTTATTGTATTTAAAAAGTAATGAAATGTCCAAGGATTAAAGTTTATGAAAATGAAAGGGATTTATAAATAAAAATGACATATCCCACTGTATACTAAAAAGATATGGGATATGCCATTTTTAAAACGTGCATAATATCAAATTTCCGTGACAATCTTGTGTATATAGAGCAGAAAGGTTTACAAACAAACAAGAGGCCCATGGGCCACATCGCTCATCTGAGTAATTTGGGTGATGCAGTTCTTAACCAGATTTTCCCCACTTGTTATACCTATTGTGCCCCCCTCCCCCTCCCCTGTCATGATTTTAATACTTTAGAATCTACACTACCCCAAGATGCTTCCACATAAGTTTCAGCTTTTCTGACCCAGTGGTTCTTAAGAAGTCGATTTTTAAAGATTTTTCATATATATTTGTATGTAAAACTTGGATTCCCTATTGTGGCCCCAACCTACTCCCGGGGGTCATGATTTGAAGAATTTAGAATTTACACTACCCAAGGATGCCTCCAATAAAGTTTCAGCTCCACTAGCCCTGTGGTTCTTGAGAAGAAGATTTTAAAAGATTTCCCCTTTATATTTCTATGTTAAACTTGGATTTCCTATTGTGGCCCCACCCTTACCTTGGGGATCGTGATTTTCATAAATTAAAATTAACACTACCCAAGGATGCTTCGATATAAGTTTCAGCTTTCCTGGAACAGTGGTTCTTGAGAAGAAGATTAAAAAGTTTTTTCCTCTATATTTCTATGTAAAACTTGGATTCCCTATAGCAGCCCCGCCCTACCCCCAGGGGCCATGATTTTAACAATTTAGATTTCAAACTACCCAAGAATGCTTCCACATTAGTTTCAGCTTTCCTGGCCCAGTGGTTCTTGAAGGGAAGATTTTTAAAGATTTTTTAATATATTTTTTTGTAGAACTTTGATTCCCTATTATGGCCCTGCCCTACCCCCGGGGGTCATGATTTTGACAATTTAAAATCTACACTACCCAAGGATGCTTCCACATACCGGTAAGTTTCGGCTTTCCTGGCCCAGTGGTTCTTGAGAAGAAGATTTTTTAAATGACCGCATCCTATTTTTGTCTTTTCTTGATTATCTCCCCTGGTAAGGGGACTTGGCCTTTCATTTTTACAATTTTAACTTCCTTTTACCCAAGAATGCTTTGTACCAAGTTTGGTCAAAATTGGCCCAGTGGTTCTTGAGAAGAAGTCGAAAATGTGAAAAGTTTACAGACGGACGGACGACGGACAAAATGTGATCAGAAAAGCTCACTTGAGCCTTCGGCTCAGGTGAGCTAAAACTAAAAATTAAAACTGAGCACTGAAAAAAAAACGTTACTGGTATAGATCGACTCAACCGCCTATGAACCAAATAGACCGAGGTCCCATGTCGCAGTACATGCTGGCACGAAAAAAAGAATGACTGCTTCATGGCCCTGAGTACCGAGTATATTGTAACAGATCGTCTTGCATCGAATTGCGTCAGCCATATGGTCTAACAGCCTCAGGCAAATTGATTCTTGGGTCCGACAAAACACATATTGCCCTCGAACACAGATTTATATAGGACACAATTTTCAAAGGTACCGTAAAACAATATACACTTATTGACGGTGTTCGAGGGCCACATGTCATAGGTCGGATCCAAGAACCAAACTGTTTGGTTCGAGGGTAGACAAAACATATTTTGCCCGAGAACACAGACAATAAATGATTTGTTATACCTTTTCCTTTTTATTCTGGCATATTATTTTGTTATAGCATTAAAACTTGTATGGCAAAATATCGATTTTTTTATGCCTGGTCATTAAGTCGAATATTAAACAGGATATATACGTATTTTTCGACGTTGTCAAAAAGTTCGAGACCAAAAGTCGTGAACTATTATTTAATATAAATATTATACAAATCACTGCGATTATTCGCGAAACATTCACTACAAAGAAATAATTTGCATAAAAGTTCTTAAGAAAATGCTAGACCTTCCTCTTTGAATTGTTTTTAAAATTAATGTTTTGTTGTTTGTACTGACTGTTCACTTGAAGTTGAAGATCTAAATAATAAAACTGAATTAAATGTAAATATATCGAGAGAAAAAAATTGAAAATTAAATACGTAAATCCAATTAATTTTCTGAATTAAATGTAAATATATTAAATGTAAATATATCAGTATGTGTTTTGATGTTGTTGAGAGTTTCATAATCAAAAAAAAAAAAACATAGCTTTAAATATCAATTCATTAATACAGTATGTGTTTTGATGTTGTTGAATTTAGATCCAGTTTCATAATCAATTCATTAATACAGTAAGTGTTTTAATGTTGTTGAATTTAGATCCAGTTTCATAATCAAAATTCCACGACGCGCCTCAACGGATTCGTAGGATCTAATTGTTCAGCATCTTCGGGATCATTCTAATTTTATCGTTGAATACATGATCCCCCAAGGTTGTTCGTTAAACCCCGGACCAAATTTTAACGTTACACCGGGTTACGTTCCCCGGTCAAATGAAGTAACGAGTTTTCCAAGAGTTAAGCGGCACAAACTAATATGTCGTACGCCGGTTTGACAAATGCAGTCCTACGCAGTCTGAATTTGCTGCCACCAATCCACAAGTGATGCGCCTCGATATGCGTGAAAATTTTCGAAGGTGAGGAGAAGTTAACAAACACAAACAATACCTTTCAACTTCAAGTTTTTCTATAATAAATCTGAGAGTAAAATGACATACCAACAGATGCTCTGACTGTTGTAATGTCATAACTCTCCAGGTGAAATATGACTGATTCCAGACACTCAATGCCCTCATCTGGAGTAAATACAATCTCGTGGTGCTCAGTCCCTATGTGGTTAGCAACCTGTGTAAACAACGCCATTATTATAACAGACATTACATTTTAACTTGATAATGTCATAGTGAAATTCATACAAGTACCTTCCTTGCCGCTAACAAATCTGGGCTCCCTTCCATACCGATAGAAAATGTTTGTATGGGATACTTAATTCCAAGCTCTTTGGCTTTTCTTGCAAATAAAGCAGAAACTAAACTAGAATCAAGACCACCTACAAGTAGGAAAGATAAAAATTCGGTATCCACACACAGAAAAAGACGTAGAGTGAATTTTTACTAGTATGTACTTGGTGATTACCGGACAACAAGCAGCCGATCCGCCTTTCTGCCATAGTCCTCTTCTGTACTGCAGCCTCCAGCAGATCTCGTATGCTAGCGAGAATGTCATCATCTACGTTAAATTCATCTCAATTGAAATTCACTGCATCAAGTTACATATGTATATGCCAACACAATATTCATTATTGTTTTTTTTTTTTGCAGAATTACAAACCTCTAGGATTAACTATTGTTTTATATGCTGGACATTCTCCAATTTTATTGAAACGTGTAGTGTTTATATATGTAGCCCTTCCATTCAAATCGAGGCTATATGCTTCCACATGACCAGGAGGGAAAGGTGTTATCTCTACATCGCTATCGGACACCTGTTTTAAGGGCATCAGACCTACGAAAAAAATAACTATTTAGCCCGAAAATCTAAGCATTCTAAACAATTTACAAGAAGCTGTGGATATTTACCACATATATGATTCTTATTCTCGAAACTACTTCATTTAATATGCTCTGTACTTTTGATTCTGTATAAAGTTACCTTTTGCTTCTGAGCAGATGGCGAGGAATTTCTTATCTTCTATATAAGCTTTGAACAATGGTCTAACGCCAAATGTGTCCCGACCTACGTATAGCTTGCGTTCTGCTGTGTCTAAGATGATGAAGGCGAACACGCCGTCCAAATGTTTTGCGGCATACTCAGCGCCTCCATGAGCGTACAGGTGAATAATAACCTCCCCGTCACACTCAGTAGAGGTGTCAAAGTTAAACTGCTCCTCCAGCTTTATTAAAAGTTATGATAGAATCAGTATTTTGGTAAAATCGGGTAAACTGAATCTTGAAACAAGAATGATTGTCAATATGAATTTGAAAGTTCTTAATTTTATTTTTTTTGGGGGGGGGGGGGGGGTGCTAGTGGTTTCATATTATAATTAATTAGACCTCTCTAACTGTTGCTCTTTGAAAGAAAAAAACCTGAGATTGTTTTTAATAGATTGGCTTATCAATGTAAGATATTAAAATGATTGACTTAAATTCTCTCAAAATATACCATTTATTTCATCTAGAGAACTTGTACACTTACAAGTTTATGGTTATAAATCTCTCCATTGTACATCAACCAGATGTGTGGATACTTAAAAACTCTCATGGGTTGCATTCCCGCTAAATCGTCAACGATGGATAACCGGTGGAAGCCGAGGGCACAGTTTGGGAAGTGATGGATCGTTTCCAGTCGGAAGGCATCCGGCCCTCTGTGGGTAATCTTATGTGCAGCGTTACATTGGATGGCAACATCATCATCGCTTCCGAATATAGCCCATATCCCGCACATGACTGATGCCGCTTAATGCTTCTTCTTTTGTTGGTATCCTTTTGCAAGAACCTGGTTATTGAAAACAGAATTGAACAAAGTATGTTTGTTCCTTTGTGTGCAATAGCTTCAAATAAACTGCAGCATTTTCAGGAATTGATCTTTGAATACCTTTATCATTAAATTACATTTGATGTCTTACAGATATACTACAGGGCGCGAAGACGGACATCATAATCAAGTGTTGGGGAAAAAAACTATCCTTGTGTCATTTGCACCATTCTTGAAATACTAAAATACTAATGAGTTGGCCTACATAGCTAAAATATTGAATAGTGCACTGTTAAAGTTTTCCCACTCTGTTAAGTCTCTGATAATTGTTTTCAAGGCTGCATTTTTTCTCACAATTCATCGAGTTACGATATTATTGTTGTGGTCATGAAAAGAGACTGAGTGTTAATTATGTCTTAAAAATGCTTGTTCATTAAATATATTTAAAGCTTTTTTATAGGACTTGAACCCGGTAACTTTTGCTTACGGCCTTGAAATGATATGATGATAATTCATATAGCTAATTTCAGATACTAATAATATGATTTATTCCTTAGAAAGCCATTTTAAAAATATTTTTATAGTATTTCTGAAATAATTTTATAATGTTATATAAAGAGATTTCTTTGAAATACCTGTAAATGTGTATAGCAAATAGCACCTAGTTTGTATTTACAAAGTTTAAAGCTCTCGACAAAGGGAATCTTATAAAAATATCTTTAAAAACACCTATTTAAAGTCATCTGCGAGAGAATATTGCAATATTTCAGAAGAAATTTGTTTACAAAAATCAAGAGAAGTTTATGTCAAGGGTTTAAATACTTTTAAGAAAATAAATGCAAGCGAAGTATATAATTAGAGTTTGTAGTACTTACACTAGGGAAGTGTGATCCTGTATAGGATATAGAGAATGTTAACACAGGATAATGATGCAACATTACAGATATATATACAATGGTAGCAGGAATCATGCTTTCACAGCGTGGTAAAAACATGGTTCTGTTTATATATAGAATCGTTTTCCATGATGTTTAATTATACAACCTCAGTTTTAAAAGCTCGAGTCGCACCAGTGAACAAGTTGGTCGCATAATCAAACTAAAATCTATGGAGGACTAGAATTTTCATTAAAGAAGAAAAAAATTTAGATTCTCACAAAAGCATTCATGATAGTTTATTAAAACGTATCCGTATGTTGTACGTGTATAACCAAAATCAGATTATTTTTCACGCTTTAGTTTTTAGGACATTGCCTCTGTTCTATGCTCCCCCCCCCCTCCTCCCTACAACAACAATATAATTGAGCCTGCAATCTAGCTAGCAAATATACAAATACAGGCGTTGTAAAAACCTTCGATTTACGCCGCCGCTTTTGTTGTTGCTTACTTCAGGTATTATTGTCCCCCGCTTTCACTGAAAGTGGGGAATATTAATTTGGGTCTGTCTGTCTGTCCGTCTGTATTTCTGTCTATCTGTCTGTAACACTTTCGTTTCCGCGCGATTATCTTTCGCAATGAATAAAAATGTGATTTTGAAAAAAAATGCTCATTGAACTCTTATAAGTATACTTAGTGCAAGATGTACAGATTTCTATATGCAGAACTTTAATATGTTTTATTAATATTTTGAAAATAGCTTTGAAATAATTTTTTTTAAAATTCCATTTCCATCTACTTGGTTAACGTAACATACAATTCCGAAATGAAAAGAAATGAATGTCGGAAATTAAACTTTAAAAATTTTTAGAAATGTTATGCAGATTTGCGGAAATGAAATGCAGCGAATTGATTATACATGCACAATGATAAAGCGTAAATCACCTTCTTCTCTGACGTGGTTAATCCACTCATTTTCTTCTTAAAGAATTGATTGGTTGAAAGTATGTAGTTTTATGTCCAGTTCGAGAATTTTAAATCCCGAAATTTTGATTGGCTAAAAAATTAAAAATCTGTTTCTTAAATTACATCGGAAAAATATCGTACCGTTTACGAAAACGAGACGTAATTTTTTTTTATTCAAGTGCTGCAATATTTTAAAAACACTGGAATTGAATTTCAAATCTACTCATTTTTTTTTAAATTGTGCTCTCTGCCCGGGATAAGCACCATTTCATGGTGTAAGTCAACTTTTCCACTCGGCGTTTTGACGCCGTTTCACCGTGAATAGGGGCACATGTGGGGTTTCGGTTAAGTAACATATAGGGGTTTCAACTCCGAAGCGGTGATTTTTTGCATTTGGAAAATATATTTATAGAAATCCTTTGCTAATGAATTCTTCGGGGCCAAATGACATGCGCACGGGTTGTAAGAATGTATTACCTTCCAATTTAGTGCATTTTTTAATTCCATTGGAATTCTTATATAATTGCATTCAATATCCTATCAAACACACCAAACCTTATCACTGCGCAGTAGAATACATAGTAGAAATCATATACCTTTTCAATATTCTTGGAATGTTAAAATGCGCATTGTTTTAACTCAATTTAATTAAATTCAATGGAATAATTTAACATAAAAATATAACATTTGTATGTCACCCCCCCCCCCCCCGGCCCCGTGGGGATCCGGGTTAGAATAGGTTCTCAGTACCCCCTTGCTTGTCGTAAAAGGCGACTAAATGGGGCGGTCTTTCGGATGAGACCGTATAAACCGAGGCCCCGTGTCACAGCAGGTGTGGCACGATAAAGATCCCTCCCTGCTCAAAGGCCGTAAGTGTCGAGCATAGGCCTAATTAATTTGCAGCCCTTCACCGGCAATGGTGACGTCTCCATATCAGTGAAATATATTCTGGAGAGGGACGTTAAACAGTATACAATCAATCAACCCCCCCTCCCCCATTTAACAATTAATGTCACAAACGGCTCTTACATGTACATCAGGTCTGACATGCGCTAAATTTAGTAATTTACAATCATACAGAGAGAAAATTAGAGAATGTAAATGTAAGCATTGGATTCTTATTTTTGGATTTTTGGCACTGTTATAGCACCGACGATATAAAAAAAATATGAATTTCAGTTGCTTAAAAGTCTTTGCACATCGGTGAAAAACAAATCTTTTGCCTTCCATATGGCCATTCACTTTTTCTTCGTGGTGAATGAACCAGGAATCCAAATCCCAAGATTAAAACATAGAAAAGGTCTTTGAGTTGAAACCCCCTATGTTAACATACCTTGAAACCCCATTAGACACAGTAGAATTTGGCCAGAAAAGTTTATATATTGAGCCTCGTCGGATAGAAATCGAGCTTATGGCAAAATTTATCGAATTTAAGATTTATGTGTATTTTAGTGGTCCATGTAAAATCACGAAAAAAAAACTGAAAACAGAATCAAAATATCTTCATTTATAACAAAGTTATAACATTTTGAAACTGGTATGTTTGCAAAATTAACTCTGATCATATCGTAGTTTTTTCACGATTCAATTGTGACGTCATGGTTTATTCTCAGTTGTTCGGTAGGGGCACCTGTCATCGCGTAGCAGTCCAAGTGGTTATCGTGTCTAAGTTAAAATGCTTAATTAATGACAAAAAAATAGATGATCATGATGTGCAATTCCCAAAACTGTGTTAACTGTATTTTAAATTCTTTAAAAACCGACTACTCAATCCCCAAAAAAGATCTTTGATTTCTACTTTTCTGTCTTTCGTACCGACAGATTCGTCTCTATGAACAACTGAACTTTCAATCAACAAAATATAGATGTACATGTATGCTGCTTTTATGTTTGATAAAGCCTGTATCCTCAAAGCATGCAAGTTAGTTAACACAATATGTTTGATTTTGCGTAATCACCATGTAAAGGAAAAGGGAACCAGTGCGAGTCCAAATTTACAGGGGGTCGCTATGTCTTATAGACGAGTCATAAAGAGATTTTCATTTTTATGCAGGCTAAAAGGTAGTATCTTATTTGCATTTCCGAGGATTATCAAAGAAATGCCTCGTTTCTTAAAAAAATTCATGAACCATGCAGCCAGTAAAATCACAACTAAAATCATGCTACAATAATTATTCTTAAGTGAAATTTAAAAAAAATCACATCCATTTTTACATACACCTGTAGCGACTATGTGAAATCAAACATGGTGTGATACTAGCCTTGTGTCTCAAAGTTAGCTCATTTTATTAGGATTATTTTCCTAAAACCGTTTCTACTGCAGCTACATTCACTTTCAAATACCCGGTAGTTCGTTCATATATAACCTCTTTTCCTCCACATCACTCTCGCTTGGTTGTAATTGGACGAATAGCTCGACAAAAAATTAACTACTCTGTGCCTTTCATTATCAACCCCCCCCCCTCCTAATAAAAACCCAATCGTCTTTTCATCAAATTTCTATTATCCATAATGTAGAGAATAAATAAGTAAATAGAATATCATGTTGAACAGTATACATATCATTGATTGATTATTGCTTAACGCCGAGTCGGCAAGATTTCAGACATTGTCGGCGGGAAATTTATATCTGTTGCATGCAAAATACCTTAACATAGGGAACTATTCAACGTTCCATCTGACAGAAATTTCAAAAATATGTAAACCGTTAAAAAAGATTTTTATCTGTGTTCATCAACAAAATATCTCATAATGTACTAATTTACCTTAAAAATCAATTTGATGTAAATAATCTAAAATTCTCATAAATTTAATATTGTAAATTAAAATAAAATAAAATAAGAATCCTGCATCTTTAACGTTCGTACATTATTAACTTCATATATGAGAAAACCCAGCTAATTTTAAAAGAATAAGATTTATAGTTAGCGGAAAGTTACAGGAAACATGTACATGTATACACATTGGCTGAAATTCTCGATTCAATAAATATACATGCATTTTTTTTGGACGATTTGTGCGTATTCTTTAAATAATCAAAATAATCACTTCATTCTGACGTTTTAGGCGAAAGTCAGATGATTTTTTTATATCATATAGTTTATCATCATCGAATACCCAAAGATGATCTCATCTTTACTCATCACCAGGTGAT